TTTTATTTGAAATTGATTATTCGATTATCGAAAATAATTGATTATTAAAAAGCTGATTATCCAATAAATCGATAATTTTAAAAAAATAACCAAAATATCGATTATGTAAAATAACCGATTATATCCAATCGATTATTTTCATATAATATCTTTGAAAAATCGAAAATAATCAAATAATTAAAAAACCGATTAAACGATAAATCGATTATTTTGAATAAATCTACTTTTTTGTATTTCCTTTAAAATCGATTAATACATTATCTTAAAAAAAACGAAAATAATTTATTAAAAAACAGCGGATAAATCGATTTTTATTAAAAAATATCAGAATTATCGATAAATCGATTATTTTTGTAACCCCTATCGGTCGCTTGCTTTTATCTGAGCATTTAGCTCCAAAATTTAGAGATTCGGATTTTTTGATCCAGTTATCTTTGAAATCGCATTCGATTGTATAATAAATAAATATTGCTAAATTTTGGATTTTTTTTAGTAAACGAAAATTATGTTCGAGTTGTTTAGGGGTTTGTAATGTAACATTTTATTAACGTGACTAAGGGTCGATTCCACCGTTGTGTTAAACGAAGTTTAAAATGACATTTTTACATTAACACTGTCATTTTAATCTCCGTTTAACACAACGGTGGAATCGGACCTAACTCCTGCAACTTAAGTATTTTTTTGGGCTAATACTAGATTACTTTGTTTTAAGACTGAAAATTCAATGTCACTTTCGATTTGACCGCAAATAAGATGAACCTTGAAATTTTAAGTAGGTCATCCTGTATTTCATCTAATATTCTTATAAAAATACCTTATAAAAATACCATATAAAAATACCTTATAAAAATACATTATAAAAATTGAATAACTAGATCACTTTAAATTGCTAAAATACCAACAAATAAATCAAAAAACAGCTGTCAATGGTGATTAAACTCAGGTGGAGGTGATCGCTGAATGGAAATCGGAGCAATTCGGGTGGCGTCGTGCAACAATGATTTTCAATTGGTGGGTTACTTTGGCTTAAAATAGACAACATGCGCAGTGTGCAATGTTACATCTTCGGTCTCTTTAATCTAAGATTACAATACACTAATAATAATTCCACAGCATCGGTTAGAAAAATTGGTAATGAAACGGATATCCCTAAGTTATCCTCTCATCTATTACTGGACGTTAATAAATATCATCCATATAAACCTAGGATTGTATAAGGTTTATGGCAAATGCCAATTTTCCTTGAACATATTATGGACTGATGAAACTCGATGTACCAATTACGGAGTTTTTAACAGACATAATACCCATCACTGGGCTATATAAAACAAAAATTTACCTCACAAAAAACATTCTAAACAAAATTTGGATTTAATGTTTGGTGCGGCATAATAGGCAAGTATAAAATTAGATTTACGTTTAAATGTGAAATTATTGAAATTCTTACTTTCAGGAAATCAGCTAATTGGACCAATAATTTTTAATTTCAATTTAAATGCAGCACGATATCTTCAGCTCTTACGATAACAAATAATGTCCGCTATGAGGGCATCTGTCGGGAACGTGGATCAAATTTGGTATATGCATGATGGTTGTCCAGCTCATAATGCCGCTGTCGCGTGTCGTAAAAAATTATTTGGAAGAAAACTTCTCCAATAGATTAATTGCGAATAATGGCTAGATCCCCTAATATAAATCCCCTTGATTTCTTTTTATGGGGACACATTAAAAACGAAACTTACTCATTTGAAGCTCCAAAAACAATATGGGTGCAGTGAATAGAAACAGATTATTAAGAGCATTAAACTCTCTGCCAAATCGTTGTCAAATGTGTTGTGATCAAAATAAAACAATTTCATTAAATTAGACAGTTTATATCTGAAGCTTATATTGTAAATTGTTCCAAAAATTATCGCAAAATTCTTGTTTTTATATGGTTTTTATAAAGTTCAAATTAAACCGTCTATAATCTGACAGTTCTAAAACATATTTTTGGCTCGCCTTCTGGACCAAATTGAGTAGAGCAGCAAAATTAATTAGGAAATTTTCAGATTTGTTTATTTCAGCGTTCATTTGAAAGAAAGTAAAATGTTGCGATACATTTTTAAAAAGGGAATTAACAATTCTCTTTAATGCAATAAAAATCCAATATGGCGTCCATAAGAAAAAACAAAGTTATAGTCAATATCTCAAAAACGAAAAAGATATTCTTCTGTTTTATTTTCTTATTGTAAAGACCTTAAAAAAGTGTCCATGTCTAGATGAAAATACTGTATCTTTTCAAATAATCTAGATACGGGGGACTGTCAAAAACCTACCATTTTGATTTTTCGCGATTTATTCAAAAACCAAAAATAATTGACAAAATGTAAATAGCGATTCTGATATGGTAATAGAATCTGAGAAACATTGCCCTCTTAACCGATTTTGTAGCTCTTATAATAACCGAGACAGCAATACATGCAGTACCAATTTGGGACATAGTGTATATAAGATCATATTTCTACTTTTTTTTTCTTCATATTTACCTCACCTTAGTTATCACCAACATTATGTTTACCTTCTAGATTTTCTATTTTAAACAAAAACCTTCTATCCTTAACAAGAAATATTAAAAAAAACTCTAAAGGCAACACCACACCAGCAGGTTTTCTAATAAAATGATAGAAAACAACCACCAAAATATATTTTGTCCATGTTTTAGAACAATATGCACTTTGAAAGTCTAGTGTAGCTGTACTAAATTCAGTTTGCCTAGGTATTTTTTTCCTCTTATTAACACGGGTATATAATGCATATTGACGGTCCAAGGCTCGTAAGAGGAAAGTGTTTGAACTGAAATATTCAGCGTCACCTTCATCTCAAATTTGAAAAATATGGACAAATTACAATTTAAATGTATGCTTCTTATTGGCTAGTATCTAGAACAAAGCATTTTTTTTAAATCGAAGTAAAACTTTTAGCAAATATTCTTTTATCATAAATAAAAAAATATAATATGATCAGTAGAGTAATAATAAACATTTCTTTTCGTTTTGAAATGTTACTACCATCTTTCTTATCATCATTTCAGTTCCTTTCAGCAAACGACCAATAACTGTAATGGATTTGGTGGCAAAATAAAAATGTAATTTTAGATAAATATAAAACTTGTAATAAACTTCAATAAGAACCAAACTGCAGTTTACGTCGCCAAACGGCGTCATATGAAAGTCTCATAAAAATAAATGTTATAGGTACGTTATTTCTGTCCGCACCAAGATGAAAGCAGACTGTGCTCAGGGAGTTCTAATAGAATTAAGGAGGTGTTTACTTTTTGGTTAACATGATTTAGGAGGCCGCGGTAAGTGTCACTTTATTTTATTGGTTGATCCTAAAGATACATTCGCGTATTCAGGACGATAAATTTTCATTATATATAAATTTGTGTTTTAAAAAGTTTTAGGATGTATAGTGGAATCTATAAATAGGTCCATTTATTTAAAAGAATTTTCAGAATTCTTTTGACATATGTAACAGGTGTACAAATGATTAATTATTTACTTTATTTGCTAATTAATTTTTTGTTTCGCTGGAGGATCAAAATATTTATAGAACAATATCATTGTCTTTATAGTATATTAACAAACATATTTCGATATTAGTAACAGAAATAAACTTTATTTGTCAGAAACTATCAAGTTACCTCTGAAAGGTATGACAGTTGTGTATAAAAGTTTTTTCTCATAGCATCTTCAAATGACGCATTGAGTGCCCACTATATTTTTTGTTCACTGATTAAATTGTTACTGCCAACGGAACTTATTTTTTGTCTTCAAGTGAACTTACACTTTTAAGTTACTGTTTATTGTTTTAGTGCAACATTTGTATATCTTCAGTTAATATGCACTAACTACGGTTTCATATTCAAACATGAAGTCAGTATAAGTACTAGAGTTGCTTTTTGGCACTAATAAATTTGACGGTTTTATAATTGCACTGATATAACTTATAATACTTTTAAAAAAACACAGTTAGCCCTAACTGATCTGGTTTGAGTAATTTATAAGTGGAATTTTTAGCGAGCAGACTACTCTAGTATCGTGTTCACTATATTTATGCATTATACGTGAGACCAAAGAATGGGACTAGTAGCTCAATACAATTTCGATTTCGCCAAGGATTGGCTAGGTGATTGTACTGGAAGATGCAATCAGATTGCGCTGTTATACCTTCTCCTTTACGGTTTATATGGACCACCTCCTCACTCGTTTCTGACTCTAGAGCTCTATCTGTCGAATCAAATTTAGTACACAATTTATTAAAGTTACAGGGCTCTATCTGTAATAGAATAATATTTCGTTAGTTTATATCGCCGCCAAAAGAGGACAGCTAGCACAATAATAGATTACGCGGGAGATCTTCATGATTCGATACGAAGAACGTTGCCAAACTTCAATAGGTATAAATATGTTTTATTTGTTTATATTAGCTTCGTTCGCGGTAACAATGCTGAACTGATTTAGAATTAGTAATTTATACTTTGAGCGCATGCCCGAAATATTATCAATTCTGAATTTTTACCGCGCGCGCAATCTCTATTATATCTCGTGGTTTCAGTATAGACAAGCGGTTCAAAATCAATAATAGTTTTACCGCGAAACACAGAATAGAACCAATAGTTCAGTTCTTTTGTTCCGCGAACGCTTTTTAACTACTGCGCCTGCAAAATATTACTATTAGTATTGTAAAGCCGCGGGAGGTGAGGTGTTGAGCGCGGACGACCCAAGCGATTCAGCTAAGAGATGGATATGACCCTGGCGAGCTTTTGTTAAGTCTTCCACTGGTCCGCTCTAAATCATTTCAACTATGAACTTTACTGAAATAAAATTATTTAGGGTGAGCGTATTATCCTTAAAATCTTAATATATATATATATATATATATATATATATATATATATATATATAAAATGCTAGCGTAGAATATGTGTGTGACCGGTTTTCTTCGAGGTTTTCTTTATGACTTACCAACTTCAACAACATCACCATTGGGGTGGTAAACACCCCTTAGGTCTAGAAGGAAGTAAGTGAGTTTGGGCCGGTGGGTGGAAATGGGTGGTTGTGGGAGGCAAAAATGTGATAAGATATATATCTGTCCCTTTTCTAACTCATTAGAACTTCGGGAAAGTTCTGAAAATTTCTAGAATGATCTAGAAAGTTTCGAAATTAATATTATCCGTTATTATCATTCTGGAACGTTTCAAAAAATTCTAAAAATTTCTGGAATGATCTAGAAAGTTCTGAATTAATAATATTGGTTATTATCATTCTGAAACGATCCAGAAAATTCTAAATATTTCTGGAATGATCTAGGAAGTTTAAAAATGTGTAAAATCGGGTATTATCATTCTGGAACGTTCCAGAAAGTTCACAAAAATTCTATAATGATCGAGAAAGGTCCGAAATGTGTATGAGTATTAATGGTAATCGATCTAATAGAGCTAAATGTAAGTGATGTGCATCTAAATATTCTATTAAATAGAATTTTCTATTAATTATATCATTCTGAAACGTTCCAGAAAATTCTAAAAATTTCTGGAATGATCTAGAAAGTTCCGAATTAATAATATTGGTTATTATCATTCTGGAACGTTCCAGAAAATTCTAAAAATTTCTGGAATGATCTAGAAAGTTCCGAAATTAATAATATCGGTTATTATTATCCTGAAACAATCCAGAAAATTCTAAAAATTTCTCGAATGATCTAGAAAGTTCCCGAAATTAATAATATCGGTTATTATCATTCTGAAAGGATCCATAAAATTCTAAAAATTTCTGTAATGATCTAGAAAGTTCAAAAATGTGTAAAATCGGTTATTATCATTCTGGAACGTTCCAGGAAGTTCATAAAAATTCTATAGTGATCGAGAAAGGTCCGAAATGTGTATGAGTATTATGATAATCAATCTAAAAGAGCTAAATGTAAGTGATGTGCATCTAAATATTCTAGAGTGTTGCAATACTAGAGATTTTCTATATGTAATGGTATATAAACCCGAAT